CGTGGTCTTTAAAGACCAGCTTTCAGAGAATCACAGAATCATTAGGGTAGGAAGGGACGTCTGGTGAGCATCTAGTCCAACCTCCAACTTTCTAACGTAGACTGTGCAGCAACAATAGAGTATTTCGTCCTGAGAGTTGAGGCCCAAATCTGCTACTGTGCTGACATGGAGAGAGGAGGAACTGTGCACTTGCTGTTCCAATAAAGATCTTTTAAAGACTGTGCATACGTGAAATGGTTTCCACTATGTTTTGAAGGTGCTCTTATTACACAGCACTGAGCTGGCACAGCTTGGAATCTTGATGCAGAAAAGTTACAACAGACTCCTCAGCTCTGCACTACTGCTGAGCAGTGCAGAGTGTGCCAATAGTAAAATGAATTAAGAAAATACACAGAGGAATGATACCACTGAAAGCCCCACTAGAGCTTGGATTCTTTGGAAATCTGGAATGCAGATGGAGCATGCTGAACCCATTATTTTTTGCTAAAGTGTTTGCTAAAGGCTGTTAATGGCAAAACAGAAACAAGTTAGAAAGTAGTTCTATTATTCCTTTCTATTTATTTTACCCAAACACAGTGAACTATCCATGATATTATGGAATTAAAACTTTGGAAGTTAGGTGTTCTGTATAACAATGAAATGTGACAAAGGAATTTTTACATACAAGAACATTGAGCAAATAAGTACAGGGTTGACAGCACACAAATTGTAGGAATATTAGAAATAGAAAGCATTAAAAATCCCCCACCACACATGCAGTAAAGACAAAGTTGAAGCTTACTTCTCAAGGAACCAGAGGTTCTCTGAGATGCATTATTGTGACAGAGCTATATCTGAGTTGTGTGTATATATCTATATCTATCTATATCTATATCTATATCTATATCTATATCTATATCTATATCTATCATCTATATCTATATCTATATCTATATCATCTATATCTATATCTATATCTATATCTATCTATATCTATATCTATATCATCTATATCTATATCTATATCTATACAAACACCCCCTCTCCAGAATGCAAATGTACATGTGAGTGAATGTTTCAATGGGATATATTTCAGCCTTAAGAGTAGCATAGCAATTACGCTTATGGAGAATTCTATCTGTACAAGCTCTTTGTTTGAAAAAACCTTATATTTTCAACTTATCTAGCAAAGGAAGAGGGATATCATATGGTTTACTTCCCAGGAAAAGGAAGGAATGATATTGCCAACACCTGCATTGTGCCTGATTTCCTTTGCAATTATATAATACTTGGCAAAGGTGAGAATTAAAATCCATGTTGTTGATGAGCATGGGATCATCTCTTAGGAACAGAGGTGTTGTGCTTCTGTGGAGCACTATGATGGTGCTTTCCCTGGCTGCCTCTCAGCCAGACCTGAAAGCCTACAGTGAGAGGTTGTTTCTTAAATGAGAAAACTGTGTGAAGGGATCTTTCTGCCATGAAAACAGATAGCTTAATTATGTCTAAACAAAACCTCAAAGGGTTTTTGAAAGCATTCTTCACTATTTTGGGATTCAATCAGAACAGATTTAGAGGGAAAAGAATCAGTCTCCTGACATAAAGTAAAAATTAGAGACAAGGGAAGAAATTGAGTGAGCTCAGCATTATCTCATAACAGACAGTGACATTAAAATCTAAATTTTCCTTAATCCTCCATATATGATAGCCACTCAAAAGACCAGTTTCAGCTAAGAATTCAGGAGGGTTTGGATGGGCTTTACTGTGACATTTACCAACATCATATCACCATCCAAATGGAGAATAGGGTCTGCGTCTCAGGACAGAAAACCAGGGCATTTGTAAGTGCAGGGAAGGAATGATCTCTTTCAGTTGGTGGCTGTAGGTCTGAAATTCCAGCTGAACTGCTACTCTGTCATTCTTAAGTGCTGAGAGACAATTCAGAAATAAAGGAAGAGAGAGCTCTCAGGGTAATAATGACTTCCATGTATATAATTTGGTCCACTTGAGTATGTCCAGGGGAGCCTTTCTCATTCATAAGGCACTCTCCTACCAGAAGAGGACGCATCCATTTGGTTTCTATAAGCTGTCAAACCTTGGGATGCTAAATGTTGAGATTCAGATGGCAGTTGGGATTTATTAGTACAGTCCTGTCTTTCTTTTGAAGATTTGTCCAAAGAATGCAGTTTGGAGGGAGGACAGATATAAGTCATGCAACAAAGTAAGGGGGAAAAAGTACCTCAGGGAGCCTTAAGATAAAGATTTTTTTAAAAAACAAAACCAACCAACCACACAAAAAACCCAAACATCCCAATGTATTTCCAGGCATCCATACGTGATCTACCCGTCTGGAAGATCTTCCGTGAGAGAAACTGGTGTTAGTTCAACCTGACTTCTTCCAGTACCAAAGTCCAATTGCTTCTTGACACAGGAGGAGAACACTGTGTAATCCTTTTTATTTATGATTAGCACGTTCTTATGGCAAGAATGGAGTGTCCTTTATCTAAGGTTCTTGAGATGTCAGCATAGCAGTAATGAGGCACTTCTCAGATGCATGGGTAAGGCAATCTGAAGCTCAGCCAAACAGCTGCATGTGGCTCGCACGACAGGGCTTCACCAACAAGGGATTCTTCTTTGCAGAACAGATGTGGTACCAGACTTTGAGCGGTATTCACAGAGGATTGTAATAAAGCTTTAGGAGAGATGCTACTCTTGTTAGAAATGAGCTCTACCTGATGAATGTGAAATTTGTGGAAAGCCTAATATTGGTAAGCAGAGTCTATTCAGCCTCAAAAACATTGACAAATAACTTTATTTTAAACTGAATACAACTAAAAGCTCAGTCATAATGCAGAAAAGAAAAACTGAAGTTGTTACCTGTAGTGAGAAGTAGGCAATGTGGCATGAGCACATAAAAATAAAAACCCAGCAATAAATAGCAGTGGCATGAAAAACTCATTTGAGGTGGTGTCTGGGATGGCGTCACAGAACAACTTTTTACTGTACCCTGAAGAAACTTTCAGCATCTCATGGTCTCTGTCTGCACATACTTTTCCAGCTTCTTGCTCCCAGCTTCTGTGGTGAGTACCCTTCATGAACCTACTACTACCTCCTCTAATGAACTGTATAGGTCTGGAAAGCTTGGGTAGCCAGACAAAGCTGGGTAAGTCTTCCGACTTCAGGAAGAAATGGAAATATGGAAGTTAGCTCCATCCTGTACCTGGGAGACTGGCTACAACTTCTTTTCATCTAGCTATGAGTTTGCAGGAGAAGTATTACCCGTTGGGATTTGAGAAAAAAGAATTGTCAAGGGACATGGCTTTAAAGTTATTCCTAGTGTTTCTTTTCCTCATATGGCTTCAAAACCCCAGTAGATAGGTGGACTTAGTCATTAGAGGTGAAAATGCTTAAAATAATTTCTGAACTTCCTGTCACTCATGTAACCGTTCATACATAGCACTCTGGCCTTTGAAGCTAACAAAATAATTTGCGTCATAAGAGTGATGTACCATTTGAGAACTGTATATAGGCTGTTCTAAGGCAATGCCATCATTGTTGACTTCTGTCCTAGTTTCCTTCAGTGCCATGCTCTGACCTGAGAACTGTATGGGTTCCAAATATATCCTTAGCTGAATGCAATGCTAGAGTTTGTGACTCAGTTCTCACTTATTAGTCAGCATACTCGTGAATCCACAGATGTTAATATTAGGCGCAGCCCAAAATAGTACAAATAGCAGTTCGTTTGATGCCAGTATCTTCCATAATATTGCAATGATTATTTTTAAGTTTTTGTGTATTTTGCAATACAAAAGTGCAAGTATTGATAATAACCATGAGCATAGAGCCTCACCGCAGTTAAAGCACATATGCAATTTGCCATATGCAGTAATTCTTCTGAAATTTCTCCACAACCTCAGACACACCCCTCCCCAAAACACATTTACAGATAACGTCAAGGATTCTGCAGGAAGGCTTGACGCAATACTACTTTTCATAGAATCATAGAATAGTTAGGGTTGGAAAGGACCTTAAGATCATCAAGTTCCAATCCTCCTGCCATAGCAGGGATGCCTCACACTAGAGCATGTTGCCCAAATGACACAATTATAGGTATGATATGTATGATTGCTCTCATGTCATAAATATGAAGCCTATGCTATCAAAAATCTTGTTCAGATGTTTGAACCAGTTTGGAATATGAAACATGCAGAAAGTGTCTCATCTTTATAGAAAATAAATGAAAGTTCTGACCCAATCATCTTTGGTCACAAACAAAAACCAACCAACCTTCTTTAAAAAAAAAACAAAACCCACCTAAACCTTTTCAAAAATTCCAAAACAGACCACAAAAAAACCCAAACCAAATCCTCCACATCAATACATTTTACTTCCTATAAAGTACAAGTAAATTAAATAGAGCACCTGTGTCATTTTTGCATTTGAAATTTATGGCTTATACATAGACTATATGACTATTGTGTTCTGCAGTAATTATCACCATTTTTATGATAACCTGTTCTTTATGTTCTTTACTGCTCTAAAGCAATTCCATTCTCACTCTAACAAATCACACTGGTAAGTTCTTTGAGGAAGCATCCTGGTTTTACTTAGTATGTAGCACAGTAAAGACCAGGACCTTCTGGATGAAACTAGATGCTGCAATAATATAAATAAATAGTAGAAACTGTGAATGAGTTTTATGTCACACTATGGGCTCTTTCAAGAGTTTATCTTTGATAAACATTTAGTACACCATGCTAATGTAAAGCTATCTGTTCAGAAACTTCCTCCTGCGTACAGCTGGTCCATATTACACGTCTCTGATTTATGCTACATATGTTAAGACAAATGATCATTGTGCAACTGCTGGGAATTAGGTTAATTTTGATTATTTTGCTATAGATCCTTGACTTTTGCAGGCTTTCAATTGAAGTCTCAGCCAGGTTGCCTTCCAGACAATTCCCTGGATGAGATTTGGGGGGCAGGTGTTAACTGTGGAAACCTACTTAGTATGAAATGTACTTGTCTCATTGCTCCTGACTTTGGAGACGATACTGTTATGTTTTTTTTTTCCTTGTCATTGTTCTTCACAAAAGACCTAATTGAAAATATCTGTCAAATCATGTCTCTAGTTTCCCTCTTCTTCTCCCCTCATTAATTGGAAACGTATCGTGTTTGTGTGGGAAGGAAGGAGGCTCTATAGCAGTATAGCAGTATTGCTGGGAAAAGAACATTAAAATGGATAAAGGGATTTCCTAGTGGTATAAATACCTGCACACGACCTCCCTGTGCTCTGGAGCCCTCCTGTATATGTATTGAAAGTAAAAAGCCCAGAATAGTTTGAGCTGCTGTTAATCGCGCAGCATCTATTCTGTTAGAAAACAGGGGCAAGCGGCTCTTTGCCTTTTGGAGGGTATGACTTGCCAAGCATTTGCTTCATCTGACACCTTTGTACCCTTGAATTCTGACTCTTCTGCCTCTCTGCCTCTGATAATGCATCACAGCGCCGCAGAGTGTCTACCGGTTTCTAACCATGCCACCAATGTTGTGTCTACAGGTACTTTTAAAGATAATCTTGCTTTCAGTAACTCTCATTTATAATGCTTTTGGATGGTACGTGTCCATCGAGTTCTGCAGTACTTCAAGTGTTTGGTGTGCTGTGTGTGATTGCAGCTGCTTTAAAGTAGATGCATTTTCACATGACTGCATGATGAGGGAATGGGGAAAACCCCGAATGTGTGGGTTTTGCAGAAGTTTGTAGCTTTTTCTAAGTAAGCTTGTTACAAGATTAGGCTCAAGTATGTTACCAATACATTGACTTAGGACAGGTCCAAACACCGTCACTGTAGTTATGACAAGTGTTATAGACAAGTGTCATGTAAATAAAGTGAAAGTTTGTTTATTGTGTAACCACAATTTAAAATAACATAAATTACCTTAAACAGGAAAGGTGTCTAAAGCAGGACAAGTCTTAATGTCATTCGGGGGAAGATTTCAAGAAGGAAAAACATTGTCTTGCAAAGCAGAATGCATAATTGATACTAAGATTGAAGTGGGGTGTTCTAAACTGGTAGCAGAATCCTCATCAGTATTTTTAAATTTGGTGTGTTTATACATATAATCCAATTAATTGCATTTAAATAGTAGGGCAATGTAATCACTGAACTATCTGAGAGAGAGACAGAGAGAAAGTTTTCTTGCAGCCTTAAACCTGCAGAAGTGAGATTCCGCAATACAAGAATTGTTGATGGAAAGCTTTCAGGAACAGAAAATAAAAAATTTTTGATTTATTTGGAATTGCATTAAGGTAAGAATTTTATTTGGAGTTTTAACAAGAAACCTGCCCTCTCCTGAAATGCATTGGTGATAAAACATTTTAATAAGAAGAAAAAGCATGTAAGTAAAGAAAACTGAGCATTGGTGATAGATAACAGAATCCTATACATTAAACAGGGGGCTCAAGATATCCTAAATTGTTAGCAGGGGTAGTAGGGAATATGAGGATTTAAATTTTGTATGAGGCCAAAGTTATGTATCTGTATCATGGGAGTATTTTCTAGATTCATCTGATTCATAATAAAAAGTGTATGATGATAACCAGCCAAAAGCATTTGCTATCTGCATCAGGTTCAGGGTTTGATATTTTGCAGTTACAACCCAAAACCAAGTATCACTGTAGTCAGTGCGAATTTTGTTGGCAGGATCACATCTAGCAGATGACCCCGCGAGAGTGGAAGTAGTGACAGAGGGTGCTAATTTAATGGGTAAAAGTTTACAACTTCCATACATAGATTCAGAAATCATAAACAGTATCGTTCTGGTGAAGGTACCAAAGGATAATTTGTGCACAAAGTAGACATGAAATAATTTTGAGTAATGACCTATGTTAATCGCGTGTAGACTTTCTGCATCACAAGGTACAGGAAAATATACTCCTGTTCAGGAGTATATACAGTGTGATAGAGCTGATGTTCTGCTGTATCCTCAGCATTTTGTTATTATTCAACTTAAATAGTGTCATCCATGCTAGTTAATTTTAAATCCATATTAGCCAGTTGAAAATGCTGGTTTTATGCATTAAAATTGTAGTCTGTGAATTATGAAGTAATACAAAAATAACTGTAAACATTTAGATCTTCTCTCAACAGAAAAGCTGAATTGCTCTAAATGCTATAGTATTGCTAATGCAATCTTTATTTTCAGTGCATTTATACTAATATAAGCATGCTTGTTTTAGAAGAATTTATATCTGTATATCTAAATTTAACTGTTATGATTACTGTTGTAAAAACACATTCTAATCCCTAATTAATGATATTGTTATGAACAGCTGGAATGTGTACTCTATAATACAAGTTTACATATCTGAATGTTCATGAACACAAATTTTATATATATATTATATTATGAATATTATATTATTAATATTGTGTTTTATAGCAGTTGTTAGAGGGGACAGTGTGTGCATTTCTGTGCCACATCTCTTACATTGTGCATTCAGCAAAAATTGATTGTTCAGGCGCTGGTGATTACTAAGCACATATCTGAAACACTCCTGTGAAAACGCTAGAGATAAATTAATTGTGTGGATTTTGGTGTTGATGACAGAAAATGTTGATTTAGGCTTAAACTTTTAGAAGAACCCAGAGTCTATCAATCATCCTGTTTCCCTAACACACTGCCAAAGTTCTCCAACATGGTTTTGGTGACTTGGTACTTAAGAAAATGTGACTTCTGGATACTTCAATGAAAATGTACCAAACTGCTGTTTTGGAAGCCCAGGTCTTAGGTATGCATAAAATATTGCCTTCCTTGATGCCTGTGTTCAATGTTGGCTTTGCATGGTAGCAAAGTCCATCAGTTTTATGGGAACATAGAGCAAGTTTTTATGTAAGATTAAATGAAATGGCATGTGGAAGCTGGCTGTGAGGAACTGGTCTCATCTTTAACTTCCCTTGCTCAGCAGTATGTGTAAACTGGGATATGCCCATAGGTTATTCTAAAAGTAATGCTTCGAGACCACAGCATGGCAATTTCTGTGGTCTTAGTTCAGAGGGTATCTCGCTAATTGTACTGGCTATCATCTGGTGTGACCTGGCCAAGTGTCTGGACTTCCAGCAGTGTTAACCTCATGGTTATGGCTCAGAGTTAAATACTGAATGAATGCACATAAAAACTGCACACAAGGGTACTGTCTGCTTCTGAGCTTAAATGCTGTGTCTTGAATCCTCACATATTTTCTCACCAGTCCCATCTGTTTTGTCTTTGATCCAAATTCCTATATGTTCCCGTATCTGCTTTGCCATGACGACTTTGGAAAACACTTTGACAGGCCTTCATTATTCTGTGCCTTCCTGTCATTATGGAAATCAACCATCTACCTATGGGGTGATGGCAGGTAAGAACGTACCCTCAAATGGGTGTTGATTTTTGTCAGTTTTCCTTTAGAGGGACTGATTCAAGAGAGTTGCCTAAAGAAGACAAGATTGGGACTAAGGCACTTCTAGTGGTTAGGACATTAGAGGACAGTGCCCCAGGTTTTCCCAAACCCCTTGTGAAATCACTGTGTCTTATTTATCCCCGTAAGTCTTGGACAGTACTGCTCTTTTCACTCATTTATGCCCACTTGCCTTGGTGATCATCGCTTTTTGAAGGGCCAGGAGTGATCTACCCAAAAATACCTGTGTATTATAAATACCTGGGGTGATGGAGCCCTGACTGAAGCTATAAAATAAAATGGTGACATAATAGAAGGATAGCTGAATTCAGTGGGCAGATCATATGGATGATTGTGGATTTTTGCACTCCTGAATGTATGCTAGCATCCTACTTCATTTTCCATATCCCAGGCTAAGTAAGGAAGAGGAACTGTTATTCTATGCAAGTTCAACTAGCAGTCAATGAGATAATAAGGAAATAATCATGACTCACAGAAAGTCCAAATCAAACTTAGTGTTTTATTTCACTTAAAAGTGAAGAAAAATTAGAGCAAGTAAGTATAGATGAATACATGAGTATAGGGACATTTTAGGGACAGAGTATAGGCTTTCTTCATGGTGTGTAAATGTGCAAATGCTCCTATTTCATTGTGCATTTATGTGTTGCAAACTTTCCTGGCATTGCTCAGATCCCCAGGAAAAGTTAATAGATATTAAACACTATTGCTCAGAAGTTTGTTTTGTTTCATTCCAATTTAAATACATGTTCATTTTTCTCCTTTCTTTTTTTTACCCTCCTTTCTTTTTTACCTTTACTTTCTTTTAGGCATCAAGCCTGCAACACCAGAGATGCTGTCAGCAAGTCTCTCCCAGAGCCGTATCTTACAGACGTGCAGCATGCCGCATCCCAATGTGGTGAACAGTGTCAGCACCTTGCAAAGAAAGTCTCCTTCTCTGGTTTTAGTCTTTTCCTTTATCCTTTTGAGAATTGTAATTTTTTTTCCGGTTATCCTGTGTGAAGTGTATAAAATATTCCTGTGCGGTTTGAAATTCCAACCCTGGGGAGAGCTATCAGGGCAGTGAAGTCAGAAAAAGTAAATGGAGGAAGGGGTGGGAGGTTAATGAAGTTCTGAGTTCTGCTACAAAGCTTTGTGTGATTTAGAAAACTGGGGAGGTTGTCCTGAGAACCTGGAGTTCACTGTCTGCTCCAGGTACACTGGAAAGTGCTCATATTTCTCCAATGATTCCTTTTCCCCTTCAGGTCAGAGACTCTTTAGTTCTACATACAATATCCAGCAAAAACTCCAGCCTTCACTCTTAAATGAATCTCCTTGTTGAGTCTGGTATCTGTGAGCAAAAGATAGCATGAGACAATATTTGTCCTTGAGCAATTCCTTCTGAATGTGTTCTGGGTTTGGCGGGGAGGTTGTGGAAGTTTTTCTGTTTGGTTGGGGTTTTTGTCTATTTTTTCTTTGATCTCTTACCTGTTTACTTTCCTCAAACAACTTTTATGATGAAGCTAAACTGAGGTAATATCTTGTCTGAGCATCAAATGGTATTTATGTGGAAAAATTCATTGTACCATAAGATAGAGACTGGCATATTTTGGGCTCAAAATGTCATTAGATCCATCAGCCTTGTTATGCCACTTAATTCCTGCTGATATCTTGAGTTGTTGTTCAAGTTTAGACCATTTGCCATCTTATTTAAGTGCCTCACAGTTGTCTAAGAAATAGGATGGCTGTGGCCTGTGAAAATGGCTATTGGTTGGGTTTCATATATTGCAACAAGATAAAGACCATGCTTCCTAGGAGATCCTCACTCTTGGATACTTTCGCAGATGACATGTAATAATTACTACAGGCAGAGATTATGAGATGATGAAGATATGCTTTTATTGTGCAGCTGCAGAGAATAACTGCACCCTGTTTTCTCTTTGCTCAGGTAGCCTGGCCCCTTGCCTTTATAAATTCCCAGAGCACGCCCTGAGCACCAGCTCCTGTGCCCTCAGCCACAGCTTCACACCCATGCACCAGTCCCTCCTCACAGACGATCCCACTGCTGCAGACTTCAAGCAGGAGTTCCGCAGAAAGAGCAAGTCAGTGGAAGAGCCTGTTGACATGGACTCCCCTGAAATCAGGGAACTGGAGAAGTTCGCCAATGAATTTAAACTGCGGAGAATTAAGCTGGGTATGTGCTTCATGCCCCTGAAAAACAGGCTGAAAGATTCCACTGAAAGCCCAATTGTTTCTGAATGTTTTATGGTCTTGCCTCTGCAGTTGTCTCACCATAACTAATCCTTCCTTGCACTGACAAACTCTCTTCATTCCTAGGAGGCTTGCACAGAATTAGTGTACTTCAGCTTTTCACAACTTAGCATGCAGAAAGTTACTTTAAACTCTCCTGCCCTTAAATTATTTTCTGAAGTGCATAGAAAATGATTATTGTTCATTAAATTACACTCAGCAGCAAGTGTGCAATTTAGCACAACCACAAATCTTCTGCAACTTAGGGCAGCACATGTTCTAACCTCTCATACCCATTTTCTTCCCACTTCACCTGATGGTGCAGTGTCAGTTCAGTATACAAGATGGGTCACATCCATGTCAAATCTTTCATACCAGTAGTAAGCTTCCCTTCCTGATTGGTTTTCTTGTTCCAGGACACAAGTACAGTAGCTACTGTTTGATAAGTACTGGGGCTGGTGCAAGATGGATTGCATTAGAGGGTCTCCAGTGGGGTGCTTGTCTTTCACTGGGAAATCTTAGCTGAGGACAAAGATAGACTGAGTGAACCCTATCCTTCTCACCTGTAGGGAGCAGACATACATTGCACAGTAAAAGCCTGTCTCACCCTTGTTTGAATCACACTGAAAAAAAAAAAAATCCCAACACAAAAAATAATACCCAAAAAATCCAAAACCAACAACAACAACAAAAAAAAAAGCAACAAAAACAAACCCCAAGAAAATCCCACAAAACAGAACACCCAACATTTAATGTCAGCCACAGGAATGGAAAGCTTTGCTTAGGACCCGCGCTGTTAATCACTGTAATTATTACTGCATCTTCATCTGGAACTTGCGAGGGAACAAAACTTCCTCTGATGCAAACAATAACACAGTGCCTGGGCTTGATGTTCTGATGGGAAAAGTGCAATTTGCACCGGAAAAGTAATATGGGGTTGAGGTTTCCAAGGGAAGACAGAGTTAATATAGGCTCTGGGTCTGAGACTGAGACACGGTTATTGCAATACAGATGCCCCATGAGACATTCAGCATCTAAGGAGTTCCTGCCTGTTGTGGCTCGGAGGCAGAAAGGGAGGACCATGAGCCAGACCCCTGAAAACAGCAGATACGTGTTCAAAGCATGGAGCAGGGAGCTACTGTTACAAAGACAGTGTCTGCATGGAAACTGCAGCATTTCTCTGATTGCTTCAACTCAGTTGTGGCAGCAAATAACAGGAGACCAAAGTTGCCACCATTTAGCTTATTGTCATTGCACCATCTGTAGAAAGAAATATATGGGGTGTCTGGATCCTTTTCAAATTTCTAATCTGAGGGTATAAAGCTCCACTGAAACCAACAGGAGACTGAACACATTTCTGAGGTGAGCTCAGAGTCATCCACAGAGACCTCTGGAGAAAGCCCATCCTGGGCATTGCAGACACACACTGTTCATAAGAGTCAGTTAAGCACCTCAGGGAAATTAACACTTTCTAGAAAGCTCAAAAGAAGTATTTTTTTTTCTCTGCTTTTTTGACAGGTTATACCCAAACCAACGTTGGGGAAGCGCTGGCTGCTGTGCACGGCTCTGAGTTCAGTCAAACCACTATTTGCCGGTTTGAAAACCTGCAGCTGAGTTTCAAGAATGCATGCAAACTGAAATCAATACTGTCCAAGTGGCTGGAGGAAGCAGAACAAGTAGGAGGTAGAGATCTGAAAACTTCCAAATGCTGATTTGCATTTAAACCAGAATCCCATATATATGCTGAAGCACTAGTAGGTGTCTTCCATAAACCAGAGCTTTTTGTTTACCAGCTCCAAGTGCTAAAATGTGCTTATATTAAATTTTGGTTAGTAGTTTGGGGTGAGCAAGGAGAGGCAAACTGAAATGCATGGAGGGTATAGAAAAGTAGCAACATCGTCTGGCCTACTGGAAGTAATTTATTTCAGTCTCATCCCAGCAAATTAGCTCCCCTCCTGTAGCCTGCCCAGAGCTGTTATTAGGATCTGCAGGACAGACCATTTAGCAGCATATGGGGATTCTTCACTAGTAGAGGACTCTTTCTTCCAACCTCTAGCATATGAGATGTGGCCACTGGGGAAAGGATTTAAGTTTAGCTGACACAGTGGTCTTTAAAATCTAAAGAAGAATAGCATGGCATAGAGGGTTTTGATACAAACTTTTTGGTGCTAGAGGATTCCCTTCCTTTGCCCAGTTAATTTCCAGTTGCAGGACAAGTCATGGGTTCACTGGGCAAGGTATACATTAGGACAGGTTGGTTGATTTGAAGGAAATGGGTTGACTTAAAGAACAGCCTTTTCAGCTGGATGAATTGTGGTGCTGAGAAGCAGTATGCCAGCAAAAGTCAGGACTATCACTGTGCTGCATTCACCTAGCATGGGAAGAAAGAGAAGATGGTCTTAATGTTACTTTTTGTATTTGCTGCTGTATTAAATGATAGGAAAACTTGTTAAACAGCTGCTTCTGCCACGCACTTCAGTTCCCTTTAAACCAAATGTAGAAAGCTTCTTTCCCTTGTAACAGCACTGGGAACCAGAGGCTCTCGTAATGCATGCAAGGCGTAGTACAAGAATCACTTGTGAGGGGGCTGCGGTGGGCAGCAGCTGCTGCCTGCCTGGGCAGTGTTACAGGCTGGAGCTGCAGGGTAAGACCATGTGTGCAGGTAGCAGCTGCTGAGTAGTGAGGGGGGACTTGTCCCTCAGAAAGAGGGGTGAAAGAGGCAGCTGAATAACGGGTTGGGGATCAATGTCTGAAGAAAGAGAGTGAGGTAGCCAAAGGGTATGGGGCTGGACTGCATCTCCCTAGGCTGTATCCTGCAGGGTAGGAGGAACAAGGTACACAGGTACACACAGATACCCAGGCTCAGAACCAGTGCTGTTTGCAGCGCTATTGGTGCACACCCTTTTGGTTATAACCATTTACAGCTGAAGGTAAAACAAGGGCCAGCCACCTTAAAGAACGAAGTGCTCCTGCCTGCGATGCTGCTGTTAATCAGTGGCGTTATCTGTATGCTTTGTTCTGCCCTCAGAGAAAGGGACTTTTTCATGGAGGTGACTGTGCTTGTTTTCCATTCCCTGTGGGAGGTAACTGTCAGGTATTGGTTTGGTTTTACAACAGCTTTATACAATGAAAAAGTCGGAGTGAATGAGCGGAAGAGGAAGCGCAGAACCACCATAAGGTAATAAATATTTTGGTTGTTACGTGTTAGGAACCACATTGACTAAGATGCTGCTTTTTCTCGAGTTCAAAATCAAAGTGATATTTTTTATTAATGAGTCTCTATAGCCAATGTTTCACTATTTTAAAACATTCCAGTGAAAAAATAGCAGTATAACCCTCCAACCTGCTCCAAATATACTACTTTTTCCAATTAAAGACTTTTTTCAACATCTCATAACACACTTTAATATGAAGAAATATTTTATTCCAATTTTACCCATATTTTATTATATTTATATATTGAATAAGGTATCAGAGCATTCTTGTTTTCATTTTGGGAGGTTCTACTTTATACAAAAATAAACTGCATTATTTTACCAGGGAATTGAGGTCTGGGAAGTTTGAGGGCCAGCTTTTACATATAATATTGCGCCCCTATTCTCTGTCACAGGATTCTTTGGAATTCCCAAAGAAACACTTTAATGAGCTAAAGTGGAAAATAGGGTGTTGTCCTTCTGTGTCTCACGCCTCTGGTGGCCAGCCTAACTCCATATGAAAATCAAGTAGGCTGGTAAATGACATTACAAAACCAATTACCAAATAGACAAAATGGGTATTTCCTTCTCCTTTAGATATCCCAGACTCTTAGAAACTTTGGTGAAGAATTCACTCAGGGGCAGTCCAAGGAGCTGCAGTATTCTTCTGCAGGAAGGGAATTTGTCTCTGGGGACAACTCTGGTGCTGTTGGGCATACCTGCTACAGTGAAGTGTGTATTCTTTGAACAGGGATCATTCCTGATAGTGCCACCTCCCAGAGATGTAGGCTGCTCAACTGTCCCACAGCCACAACACATTTTTTCTCCTCTCATGTTCAACTGAAGACTTGGTTTTTTTGAGTCATAGAATCATAGAACAGTTTGGGTTGGAAGGGCCTTTTAAAGGTCATTTAGTCCAACATGAAACTAATCAGGGAGATGGACTTTATCTGAACTGCAGCCTTACTCTTAGCAATTCCTAAAGGATGTTTGAAGGCAAACTGGAGTAAAACAAAATTCGCACAAACTGAATTAGGTTATTTATACCCTGAGCAAAAACTACTTAATTTGAATTTGTGGAAGCTGTATTATTTCATACTTTGATCAAAGCCTAAAAAGCTCTTAGTCAAAACTAATGATGTTTCTATGCTTGTGTTTGTGCAGAATACATTGCTTTGGTACCATTAGTAAATACTGCAAAATATTTACCTGTAAATGAAAGACCAGCAATATATTACAGATGAAGTAATGAAATAACCAGAACTTCAGCAGCTATTTTGTCTATAACAGACTGACTTGCACTTCATTTCCATAATAATGCATGAAGTGCCCTCTTGTGTCCAAATAAATTACAGCTACTGCTGATGCTAGCTTTGGGTGCATCCTTGTCACACACACGTCACAAGTACTTTCTGAGAACATGTAACACAAATGAGAAGCAAATTCTACCTGACAATAAGAAAAGATAGGAGTCTTAACTTATTTTTTTCTTATGGAACCACTCAACTTTGGTCACTGCTGACTCTAAGGATCAGATTGAACCTCTGCCAGAAAATATGACAGGCAAAATGGGTGGTCAGGCTTGCTCTAATTCTTGTGATCCCATTCATGTCTAGTTAGTAGCTGTTACTCCTAGAGAACATCAAGGAGCATGAATAGTTCATGTTTACCACTGAAATTGCACCAGAAGTGTTGCCAGTTTTGCCTTTAAATTACTCTGTGCTGAAGTTCTGCGTGATGTTGTGCTGTTCATGTCAGCAAAGAACCACAGTGTGATGTAAGCTCTGTGGGTTTCCTTCATGTTGAAAAAGAGGAAACAAGTCATCACCTTCAGTGCTGTTACTTGAGCCTTCTTCTGAACTAGGGGTGAAAGCCTAAATGTGTCAGAGAAGTTTCTAAAGGTGAAATTTTACCCCTTTATCCAGTATTGCTGCCAAAGAAGCCCTAGAGAGACACTTTGGAGAACAGAGTAAGCCTTCTTCTCAGGAAATTATGAGGATGGCTGAGGGGCTCAATCTGGAGAAAGAAGTTGTGAGAGTCTGGTTTTGCAACAGAAGACAAAGGGAAAAAAGAGTGAAGACAAGTTTACATCAGAATGCCTTTAGTTCTATTATCAAGGAGCATCATGAATGCCGGTAATGCTTTTCTATGTATAGATGTGGGTTTCTGTTCTGCTTTTTGTAAATACTGTAAAGACTATGTTGTTTAAAACAAATAGAAAAATCATTAAAGCACTTGTTTCTCTTACAAGCTAGGGAGCTTCAGATGCAGTGCGTTGTGAAAGACCCGATTTTAATGTAAGAAATGCTACTGTATATATTCAAAGAGTTGGTATTCTCTGCTTAACTGCAAGGAACCTATTATGCATTATTCAGCTAGAAATGCTTTCCAAGTTAAATCAGTTGCAATTTCCCGGTGCTGTGCCTTTCTCCCATCTGTGGTACATTTAGTGATTTATGGAGAAGCTTCAGGAAACAAAGCCTTCACCTTATACAAGAAGAAATGTTACAAAGCTGGATATCTGCAGCTATCGAAGATACATAGAAGATATTTTGCCTCTGCATGTCCATGCATGCGCTTCACTCCCCACATGCACTCCCATGTGAAGTAGCTAACTGTGCTAACCTTTGTGAGACTGTAAGCCATTAAGCTCACAGCTAGGTCGCATCTCCAGCAGTGTACACTGAACATCAGTGAAAAATGAGAACTTCAAGGAAGAGAAGGTGAATAAGGGACCTTAAACAGGCAGCGGTGACACCGCTGCATATCTAGTTATGGCCAAGGATGGGATATACTCATGGGACCTTGTGGGACTGCCACTAGATCTAAGAGCCACATAGAGGAACATGAGCTGAAGACCTGCCTTTCCAAAGGATGGCTCAAACACACACCTGCTCACAACAGCTATGCACCTCTAATTGAATCATTTCAGTTAAATTACTTGGGCAAGTTCAGGACAAAGCCATTAGAAATGGGCCATAAATGCTGTCACTATTAGGGTAGAGTAAGCTTACCAACATGGAGGTGCCAACACTGTTCCTACTGTGTTCTCTGTCTCAGAGTACCATTTGACTGCCTTAAACAGGTACCAAGTAGAAGTGATTTTTTTGCTTGTTATCAAAGGTAATTAATTTATTATACATCTTAAAGTTTGATTTGTAAAGGCTTAGATATAAACACTGGGATATGATTTACTTTACCATAAGACTTTTGTGTCCTGAGGGGAAAAATAGGGACTTATCAAGTGGTATGACTTTGGGCTTTCTCTGCATTGTATTTTTATCTGATTAAATCCACATGTGGACATACTTACACCAGAGATACTGTGTTAAGCTAAAAAGAGAAGACCCTTGCCCTCTGACATAAATATCCACACAAAGCATATACTGCACTGCACAATCCCATTCTCTTACACCCCACTAATTGAAAATAATCCCTTATTTGTCATTCCCTAGCCTAGAGAGATAATTGGGAGAAACAAATCCAGTGGCAGAGCTCAAGCTATCAGAAAGTCAGGCACTGAGAAAGCAGAATTAATGACTGTAGTATTCACCAGGGATAGATTATCCAGCCATCTCATCAGCCCTGCTTATTGTTATTAGAATCACCCATTACTATATACGTATTTTCTATCTTCCCAGGGCTGAAATTGAGTATACACCAGTAGTACCGGCCAGGTTTTCCATAAAACAGACCAGATGATTCAGAAAATATCCAGATAATAGGCCCACAGAAAGCAAAAGGAGTTCAATGTTCAAGACCATGTAGAATCAACATGTACAAGTTAAGTGCTCTCTCTCTAGCGTACGTTAAATTACCTACAATACCTATTACAGTGACCCATTCAGCTACGGAAATCAGGCTCCTAGATTTAAAGATAATACATTTTTATGGATGAATGCATTACTGTAAGCCCTTAATTTGAAATACTCCAATTTGAGAACTCAAAAGGGAAGTGTTGTGTTGTGTACTCTCTCCAAGCTGTTCTCATCACTAGCACAGGTTATCTACTATAGCAGGGAAAGACCAAGCTGTAGCCTTTATTCACCCCATTTATCAACAGATCATAAACTTTCCAAACAGGTGAAAGATGAATGCAGTTAAGAAGATTTGCACTCAGTGAAGGTGGTGGCATGCATTTGTGTACCTTTTATGTCATCTAGTGTTACGTATGATGAAACTATCTGATATATATAAAACCTATTTATATTCTAAATTATTTTCTTAATTACAAAAGGCTCTTGGAAATGCTACAAGCATGTACCTCCCTCCCCCCCATCCAATAAAGTATTCTTATACATTTGGTATTCCAGGTAGTTCTGTTTTGGTAGCACTTTTTCAGTTGTGTATTGTGCTGATGCACTTACTCATTTTAGCATGTTGTAATAGTTAATTCAAGAGCAGACTTCCCATAACCAGCAGAGGCGAATTGCAGAAGCATAGCAAAATAAAATAAAAAGTGTCAAATAATGCCACTTTCTTGCAAAAGAATAACAAAAGGCAAAGTGGAGGAAGCAGCCACCATTTAAACACATCTATCTGTTGCCCCAGAAATACAAACTAGAGCAGAATTCTTTAAAGAAAAAAGCCAGATGAAAGCAAATTAATGTGCTGCTGCTGCAGCCATTAGACTTAAAGAAAGTGATTTGTCACAAATCACATTTGACTAGGAAAAAACTCTAGATAAAGCTTCTGAGGGGTAGCTTTATAAACCTGCAAGTAAGAGTTTAGGTGCCCATTTGACTAACATGGGCTGCACTATTTTTCTTTGTGGGTGGTTTGTTTTTCCTACTAATTTTCCCCTGGTAACTTTTGGCAGGGTGATAAAACTAGAATAGAGGCTAAAACAACATGTTTTGATAGTGCATAAATCTGTGGCTCACCTACCTCTGCAGTACTGTGTAGCATTCTGTCCCTCTCATGTGAAGGACACAACAGACCTAGAAAAGACCTCCATACAGGCAAAGCTGGTGATCAAAGGTTAAGAGGAACTGTTTAAGCTACTGTCTCTCTTTTAGATTTCATGCGTGTGCATTGAATGCCATACAGGTCTACTGAATCATAAGCTGTCTTGAAAGGCTGGATGGAGGCAGGCTGTTCACCATCCTGCCTCATGTTAAGAACTAAGAGTAAATACGTGAAGATGGAAAGAAGCTTAAGGAAAAATACAAGTGGTGGTTTTTCATGTGGTGGGGAAAAAGCTATGGAACTAAAAAATGCGGGTGCCAGAAGTTTATCTATATGGACAAGTTCACAGACGAGAAAGCCACCCCAAGCTGTTGTATACAGAGGAACTTGCATATTGCTCTGGAAGTGCTCTGAATTCAAAATAGTTACAGGTTGGAAGAGTATTAGGGGAGGAAGAGGCATCTATGTTTATCTTGTTCTCATATTTTCCTGAGCATTGCTTATGGGAACTTGTGGAGAAGGATTCTGGGCAAGATGGACCTCAGTCTGCCCCACTGGAGCCGTTCTTGGACGGAGGACTTTCAAATTCAATTACTAGTAAGGTGTCACCAAAGATAAAGGAGTTTAAGGATTGAGTGGGTTGGGTATTCTTCAGCCTGCTAAAAGTGATTTACAAAGGAATTTGTTCCTCTGTAGGGGATGCAATTTTGTTATAGAGAGCTACAAGGTACTAACTGTATTTGAAATAAATATAAGCAAGCCTGCAAACCTACACCACTTCTCATTCTGCTACTTAAAGTGTTTTATACAGATTACAGCTGCAGGACTTAAAAGGTAACCGTTAACAGAAACACTAGCTATTGACAGTAGCCTTAGTTCAGCAGTCTTACTGACACCAAAACGCAATACCGTTATTCATGTTCTTGAACACCACATAGATAAATGCCTCAGAATTATTCCCTATTTTGACAGCCATTACAAGGTTAAAGTGCAGACAACTTCATTCAGAAAGGCCATAAACCTTAGTGTTCAATCAAAATACAATCAATCAGTAAAATTTTATACCTAATTTCACATGATGGTTTCTCCTTCAATGCTAAGAGCACTATTTGGTTACAGACAGAACGAAATGCAAAAGTTGATCAAGTCTGTACCAAATGCTGAGTTTAAGTTAAAGCAAGGAAGTTGTACAAGCAAGTACAATAAACGTTATGCTGCTTTATAGCTCAGATCAAAATGAAATTTATCACAGCTAAAAGGAGTCCAAAGAAAGACCACTAAGAGGCAGATGTGTAAGACTAACCCTACAGAGGACAAAGTCATTGTGGGAAAAAAAAAAGCCTTTTATTAGATTTTTACAAAACTTGTAAGAAAGAAAACAAAAAACACTTTATAGTGGATATATGAAATATATAAACTTACACATTCCTACCCACTACCTCACAGATGCATATTTTGTCCATTACTTCCTTCAAATAGAAAGAATAAACACCTGCACTTCTATGCCAAAACCCAGATGATGCAACAATAGTAGATCATAGAGGTTATGGCTTCCTGCTACACTTTCTATAGCAGTGCAAAGTCTCTCTCTGCAGTTTGTCCTCCCCACAGTTATCCCAGTTTCAGTCTTGGGAGGAGATATTTTACTTTTTTTAAAGTCAAGACGATTTTGTCGTTTCTGTTCAGTGAACAGCCCCACTACACCAGCACAAATGAGGGGCAAATAATCTCCATCAGAGCAAAGGGCTGAGGAACTTCACACTATCTAGGAAGTCGCAACTGGGAACTGAGTTCTCAGCCTTTGTCATCTATTTAAAATATTAGCAGTTTTTACTTGATTAGCCCAATGCATTCTACTTACAGCTAGAATCATGTTTATGCGGTTCAGAGACCATAGAAAAACCTTCACAGAACAAGAACACTTTTATTATAGTGTTTAGAGGAGTAATTATTATGTATCATCCAAAATTGTTCTCAAAACTAAGATTTCATTTAGCTTATCAATGTGATCAATTGCATCTTAGTAAACAATACAATTATGCACAGTTATCTTCCATTAAGAAATACTGTAAAATATATACAAATGTTGTTTCAGGCAAATGTCCTTTTCTTAAGTGCACAAGCTGCATTTCTGAACTTCAGCACTGAGTCCCATCAAGTGCACACAGAGATCTCACTGTAGTCTTTGTGAAAGCATCTTATTTACCAGTTTACTCACTTTTCAAAGACTCACTCTGAAAAGAATTACAAGGTACAAGATTTATATACATAAAGGCACAGCAATTCTGTTGAAACCAGCTATATTACAGTACAGTATAGTTCCGTCAGTGCCTTTCATGCAAAAAAGTTCACTACCAAATTTTAATCTTTTAACTGCAGAAGGACTGCATCCTTCCCTTTTGGTAAAAAGAATAACCAGCTATTATTTAATCAACTCAAAGTTAATACAGGAACTTGAAAGAAATACATAAAATATTTTTTCTTTCTGCCTAAATTTGCTAGGCTTTCAAGGCTGTTTCTCCTCAAAAGAGCAAAGGTGAAGTTTCATTTGTGCTAAGATGACAGACTAAGAGTTTTCCGATAGAGATAGTTTTATAAAAATGATGTATTTTATATAGGTGCCATCCTAGGAGTCATCACCAGCAGCCACAGACAATTTTAAAGATAGATCAGGAACTGAGACAGAAGAAGATTTTGAATTCAGAGGACAGATTCAGATCTGGTATAAATAAATTTAACATTAGAATTACATCTTTGGTTGGTCCAGTGCTCAGAAGGACTCCATGCAATGGACATACCAAGGATACTTCTAGTAAAATGATTCAAAATATTCTTCCCTTCTCCTTTCCCCAGTACTAACTTAAAGCTGTCATTCCTGAAGCTTCAAAGTTTTCCTACACATCAGTTGCACTGAAAGAGTCTTTGCACTTTTTACATCTGTCTGAAGCTGAATAATTAGAAAGCAGACTGTATATTGCCATTCAGCTAATCAACTCCCAAAGCTTTGAGCTGCCGTTCAATCTCTTCATCTGATATGGTAGCAGCTTTTGATGTTGATGCAGATGGCAAGCCTCTGGCAGCTGAAGGAGCTTTGGCCATCTAAAAGAAGACAGAAATTGAATTCAGTCACAGTAATACACGCTGGGACAAGCTGACTTCTAGAATAAGACTGTATGTAACAGCTGCTTAAAAAAAAAAAAAAAAAAAAAAAATGAAGGGGAAAAAGCACCTAAAGTGGATGAAAACTGCCATACCTTTCCAGAGATTTCAATTCCTATCTCATCAAGCACTTGGTTAACAATATCTTGGCTTTCTTCCTCTTCATCAGAAGCATCAAAAATATCATCCAGAGTATCATTAACTTAGAAGAAATAAAGAAAAAAAGTTAAAAAACAAACCCATGCTGTATTAAGGAAAAAGGTTATTACAATTACCTACCCTCCTTCCTCCTACTAGCCACCCAGAATGTAATAGTAATACCACTGTATAAGGTACCAACAGAAAGCACCTGGTTTCTCACCTCTACCTTGCAAAGCTTGTGAGCACACCTACAGCAACAACAGGGTAAGGCATGCCTGCTGTTATAAAAACTATTCAGTTTCAAGAACAGTTCAGTTGCTCTATCTCCCTCCCCATTAGATTTTAACTTTTCTTAAAAGCATCTTCCATAATTCCACAAAAATCCCTTTCCTCCTCTTCTTCCAAGTAAGCTGAGAAATTTTTAACTACTTGGCTAACAATGTATATTGCAACAACAGTTCTGCGCTGCTGAGGTATTCACATCTTGCTCAACAATATACTTTTGATTCTATTCTACTTACTTCAGCTAACACAGTAACAGGAAGAAGACTGCGCTAGCAACACCAGGAAGTTTGGTATTATTAAGGTGTCAGTGGACAGACGCAATTGGGAATAGGAAACTTGCCACTCCCCAAGAAGTTGTTTGTAGCTTAAAATTAAAAGAGGAGACAAAACACCATGTATGTAAAGCTCAGATTATCAGTAACATCTAAGTTAAGTGTCCCAGAAGAGCAGCACATACAGAACTATCAGCTACAGAAAGGACATTTTTTCAAGTACCCCTACCAGTTATGCCAACAAGGTTTTGAACAGGTCTTAAACCCTCTTCCCTCCCAGTATGTTCTTTCTAGAAGTATGATGGGTGCTTTGCATGAAGATGGGAAGGAATGGGCTGTAGATTCGGTACACAGAGCTACTAAAAAGTCTAAGCTCAGCCTCCCTGCTCAGACATGCACTGTTTTATTTGCTCTTCACTTTTGCTGTTAATCTCATTAATTGTAGATATAAAACTTCAAGCATCACTATTTCTAGATTGTACCCTTCTGACAGCAGTATAGGCTGCAGCTAGCTGTTCCTTGCAGTGTGGAACTTACTCATTTCTTCAGTCATTTCCATCTTCATGTTTTCCTTCTGGAAATTCTGCATTGTTTGTAGTGTCTTTTGTGGATCCATCTTCTTATTAACTGTTTGCATTGTCTATTAATATTGAAAAAAACCTTTATCGTACAACGAGACATTAGTAAATATCAATATATACCTTCAGAAGGAATCAGACTTCTCTAATAAAAAATTACAGACATACAATAGATCAATAGTACAGTCTGCACCTAGTAAGAAATTTTGCTATCTATTATCCTAATAGATATGCTTTTAAACATATGCATCTTTCTTTGTACCATGATCCTTCTCCTGGCTGTGTATTACGAAAAATCTGCCTGATTTAAATGAAAAGAATGAGACACTTCTTAACTTGCACGCTATGGCCTTACTAAAGAGGTAAATGGCTGCAGGTTTTTTATTCAGTAAGGAATATTTATTTGAACCACCACTAGAGACTAGGCATTAAATTGCAAGTGTTTATTTATGTCAATTTAATGGAAAAAAAAACTTTTCTCTGAAAAGCAAATATCCAAGTGTTCAGGAAATACATATTAGCTTAGTGTGAACCTCTGTAACGGGTAGAGATTTTTTTTTGCAACAGTGTAATAAACATCACCTGTTTTACTACGAGTATGCAGCATTACCTTTGCAGGCACTCGTATTTAATACTTTTTTCTTCCTAAGAAGCAAGCTATTGTACCTCTCATAGGACATCTAAACCTAAAAATAAATGTGAGCAATTCAGGCAAAGTTTCAACCAGCTTTGAAAAGGTAAGAGTTGATTAATTAAAAGGGATGCTATCAAGCTCTACCAGCTACCACCTTCACTGAAGCTCTTCTGCGTTTGTGTCCGAGTTTGTTTAAAGTGACAATGTATTATGCTTCTAATGTTACTTGAATGTAAAAGACAGACTGTGTTCACACTCATTTGAATTTAAAAAGTCACTATGGATCTAGAGGATGTTGGTTCTTTAGAATTCTTTTACAAGTGTTGTAGATGACTTTACTGTGTCCAAAATTAGTGCCAAACATGCTAAAAAGTATACAGAAAATACTTTGAAAACTTCACATTCATGTATTTATCTTGCTTGTTGAAGTAACTGATTCCATATATTTTTTCACTGATAGTTGTATGAGATTAAGAATAGTTTATAAAGTTCAAAATGCATAAGTGAACACTTTTTCAAACTTTCCATGTTGATAAGGAAAACTACTCAGTTTAAAAGTGACCAAAAGAATTTAACACCATCCTCTCCAATAATGTTGCACAAACTAGCCCATAGAAGTACCTTCTGTGTTCCAAACAACAGCACTTTTTTGATGCTTGTCAATTTATTATTTTTTTTTAATATATTTTTGTTTGGTTGGGTTCTTCCTACTGGATTACCCTTCACAATTAGTCTACTGACACTTTGGTTTTGATAAATTTATCTTGCAGATAATAAGTTAACCATGTAATAATTAAAAAGCAAGACCGACTAGTTCACATGCAACACTGCTGCAGGAATACTGAGTAAGCTGTTTTACTTGACTACATGCACAGTAAGACAAACCCCCCCGCTTTGTGGGTTAGTCAGGAAGGATGGCAAGTTTGCAGCAGAGCTACAATTTGTATCACTGAAGGGCTGACAGCTGTCAACTCACTGCTTCTAAAAGATACCTGATAGCAAAGCCTTAGTAGTAATTACTTCTTGCACTAAGTTGCATTGCATTACTGTGTTTAAATAGCACATGACTGGATTTAACTTGGACTGTGATAAAAGCACAGGTTGTCGACAATGATGCGTGCCAACTCTGTTTCCTACACCACAAGCTGAACAATCCTATTTGCCAAAAGCAAATTCCCTATTTATTAATTCAGGGAAATAGGGAAATTTCTCAAAAAGGAAAAATGAAAAAAATTAACTCTCATAACCCTGATTTTTCAGACTTTCATGAGGTAAGATTTGTGAGAAAACTTAATGCAATACTGTTTCTTTAGAACACAGAGAGTGAGAATGACAGGGAACTCCAGATCTGACTTCCTTGGGAAATTAAGATCTGAAGCAATAACCTACTTTTGGCACAAGCCATAAAGCTACTGTGACACACTGCCTTGATTTCTAGATGAAGCATGCCCTCCTTTTGCCCTGTAAAAACTGCTTGTGACAAGATATACAGGCAAGGCACCAGCAGCATGGTTTGGGATTTTTTTTCTCTACTAAAGCAAGTTCTTCCACTGGCATTAGAATACGTTTTTATCATGCTAACAGTTGACAGATAACTAGCCCAAGAAAATATGCACAGTTAGGTGCTAACTGGCTGGATTGACTAAGTAACTATTTCATGGTATAAATCAAATTACATTTTCCTACCTCAACACCATTTGGGTTATTAAGCAGGGGGGGTTATTAAGCAAATTACTGTAACCAAAATAACACAACTTAACTTTTGCAACCATATGCTGCATTCTGATGTAAAAGAATGTCTTGTAACACCTTACCTTTGCTGTAGTTGACATAGCTCCTGCCATCTTCATCTGAGAGTTCATGACCTTTGTTTGAGTTGACATAGAAGTGACTTTAGAGCTAACAGCATAAGTTCGATTTTTCTGCTTCCGCAGTTGTACAAGCTGTTTTGCCAGCACTTTGCAGGCTTCTTTGTTACCAGTCTTAGCCATTTTCTTTATTTCCAGTTCCTGTTAAAAAAGGTATTAAGATTAATTCTACAGATTTTTCATTAATTCAAAGACTACAATTAAACCTAATAATTAAATTCCAAAAGTTAACTATCCTCTTGATTTTTTTAAAGACATTTAATGTTACATAGTCATATTTGCTTTTTTAACAAGACTATTTAGTAGAATAAATATAATGCTGTTATGACTTCACCAGAAGATGAAAACACAATAAAACTGAATTATAGCATGGTAGCAGAGTCTTCCCCAAAAGACTTCAACATCTGCATAACATCACATTCATTTACATAACTGGATAGGGAATACCACTTCAAAAAACCCAAAACATCCAAACCTAGAAGTGGGTATTTAGCCCAGAGGTACCAGGAAAAGGTTTGACGCAAATAATTCTGTCAGCTGGGATTTTTCAAAGTATGCCTTCTGGTTTGTGAGTTGGTAATGTAAACTTTGCAGCTTATTTTTCTCAGTCAGGCTTTTTAAGAAGGGTTTGCCATAATAGCTCAGTTCTTTGTCTATGTACAGTTGTATATTTTGATTTTTACCATTAAGTAGAAGCAACTTTTAAAGACTAGCTTTCTCCTGTGATTCTTTAGAAGAATATACCTGCTATGGCAACACAGTTACTTCACTTCATGTGCACTGGTGGTCTAGAAAACTGCACTTTTAAGACATATTGCACTGAAAAGGTAATACTGGTCTCCAAGATAGGCAAAATGGTCATGATAAAAGGAAACCAACCCACTGTATTAGCCTTTCTACTAGGAAAAATCATGAGTAAAGCTTACTATAGAGATGGCAGTGGCACAAAGTCATCTCTGTAAATCCATAATTTCTGGAAGGCTGTGTCATACATACTATTTTTAATCCAAGAAGGTACAGATGAGCAAATACAGAGAATAGGGCTGTTTAAACATGAGAGGCCTCAAATATACATAAAACTGTTATCTTTGTAAGTAGCTCACAGAAACCACAAAAACAAATTTCTGTAGCATGCAAAGAACATTACGTTTGTTTTCCTTATACCTCAAGAACAGTGAAGGATGGGAGGGATTAGTTTGCACACTGGCAAACACTACTTTGCAGCCTAATTTTAAGAGCGAACATTTGAAAATAGGGATTTCTCAGATATGAAATACCTATGTAGCATCTATAACATGATTTTCAACATGAAATACAAACCTACACCCATTGCTAAGTCACTGCAGATAATCCCTCTGAGAAATCATACCCTATATATAGATGATTTTATTCTTATGTAAGAATAATTTGGGTAAAGAGTCGCAATACATTATTTGCTTCTGAGAGGTTTGGGGCAATCTTATTAATGGCAGTTACATTCTCCTGGAAAAAAAATAATCAAAATTCAGATAGTCATACAAGGTTACTGAACTGAAACAGAACTGTCTGCATACTTTAAGGCATTTTTACATGTAGAATTAATATAACTTGAGTTTTCTCGGGATAGTACATCACAGTTAAGGAAAGAAAAGTCTTTCTTCAGAAAGTACCCAACAAAGTGTTCTGAGACTGACAGGCCCTTGGTCCTTTTTCACCTGATCTGCCTCTGAAGACTAGTATTTATTGTCCACTGATCCTCTCATCCTAACAGCAAATTTTAACATTTTCAAAGACACATTTCATTTCTCCTTTCTTCTCCCCCTCAGAAATCCAGCATTTCTGAAACAATTTACTGTGGTAAACATGAGTATTCATGGAAATTAAGGTTATTTCTAGAGTCAGAATATCTCATACTGGAAAATGCCTTATCTATGAGGAACCTGCTGTACCTTGCATGTTCAAAACTTCAAGAAACAATCTCTCTGATCTCTTTTAGCTTATGATTCTTAGCTCTTGGTATTCATACAACCTGCTGCCATGGAACACCACCTCAATAACTACTGAAACAGTGGCTGGATTTGCATAGCTTTTCCCACAATCTGAGCATGCCTTCATGCATCAAAACTCCACCATCTGTCACATCCATTTATCCAATTATACTGCCACACAGGTGCAAAAGCCATACACTGAATACTTGATAGCTCACACTCAAAAAGTTTTAAATAGATCTTAATTTAGGCAGATGATTTTCCTACTAGCAGCTAGTTTTAGGGAAGCTGTATATGAATTAAAATAACGCCCCTATGGGGCACTGAGGATATCCTAACTTTTCAAGTATTCTCTCCCACTAGGTAACATGATAGCACTCACACTTCTGTTAGTTTTTCCATCACAAAACCACTGATTTACAAGCCTGCATTGTAGGAGCATTTTTTATCTTTCAGAAGGTTCCTTCTGAGAATGGAGGGAAAAATGGTTATTTTTATCTAAACAGTTTCAGGCCTTTCCTATCTTAAAGACTGAGCATTACTTTTAGATAGTACATTTTTTTCCAACACAATTTCAATAACTAAAAACTCAAAAAGGTGAAGACAACTTTGATAGTGTTCAATTATTCTATATTGAGTTGCATCTTTAGAACTCTGCAAGTTTTCTGTTGTACTGGACCAGTGTGTTTGGTTTTAGAGTAAAATAAAGTTCCCTGCTCTACTTACCAGTTGTTTTTCCTGTTTTTCGAGTGCTGCTCTATCTCTGGTTATAGCCCTCTGTGTACCTCTTAACTCTCGATTTTGCTCCTTTATTATATCTGGAAAGAAAATATTTATAGCTGGGAAAAGTTTTCAATACTACATGAACATCTTATCTGCTAAGCACCCTGCAGACATGCAGTATTTTTGACAGCCTCCCTTTGTTTAGACTGAACTGTCAGCATTTCAAATCAATGAAATATTAGCAAAATACAATTTTAGGTTTACAAATCATTGTTTCAGCAGCATAGGCCATATCCTGTAGGAAAATAGCAGTTTTCTCTAATATGTTTCTTTGCACCACAACCATAGCAAATGCCTTAACCACACAGGAAGAGCTGGGTACATACACTTTTCTGCAAGTTCAACTCTCGCTTGGCAATAACATTCATTATAAGCCCATTGCTTTTCAACCAGTCAGGCCTAACTGCAACACATAGACCAGCTGAAGAGACCTTGTATATGACACCTCAGAGCAGTTATGGAGCTTCCAAGTCCATTTAAACAGTGAAGATATTCTCAGACACAATGTCTGGATCCTGCTCTTCTCTGTCCTGTTCGATGGATATTATCCTGTAATATCCATCCTGTTCAATGGATATTACTCTCCTCCACAACTGTACCATGTCTGTGCAGCCCAAATTTACTTCAGACTATAAAGCAATAGTGTTCAAACTTTTTCAGTTAGCAGATGCTTAAGAAATTAAGATATGAAAGTGGAGGCCTTTATAGCAAATTTAAGTTTCCTGACAACTGGTGTAGCCAGCAGAAGCTTGAATACTGTCAGGTACAACTATCAACTTGCAGAGGAGTTTTGTCCACTGTAATATTTAAAAATTATTTACCAGTAACACCTATTTATTAAAGCAAGTATTTATAGATGGCATTATTTACAGTATAGACATTAATCATGCTAGTTGCAATTAACTTTTGTTAGAGTTTACAGCACATGCTTAGGTGTGATTCACCTGGACAAAGGTAAAGAGGTTTGCATCTGACTCAGCATCCTCTGGCTTCTGGAGAGGAAATTCATCTGCTCCTAAAGTATACATCTATATGATATCAGATAAACTTTGGGTGGGAGTTTAAAAGGAGGAGACCGTCACATAAACTTTGTGTAGACTTGTTCTTCTAATCCACAGAAGTAACGTCATGGCGGGGCCCCACTACTATACTTACAAAGTTTGAAGGAGGTGAAAATCAATACAAAGAATCAGAGTTGCTAACGGAAATAGAGACATATAGGATAATTCTAAAAACTGCTGCCACCATTTTCATTCTGTATTAAGACTTGCAATAGTTTTTCTACAAACAGAAAGAAACGTATGTGTTCTTTGTTCCCACAACCATAAACACTGTAAAACATTCATTGCTGAAATTATTTCAACCTTAAGTTTGATTCAGAAAAAAACTGGACCTTTGGTGGCATTTTAAAGAGGGCATATACAATACCCCTTGCCACCAATTATTTTTGTCCAAATAAATGCATATTCCAAACAAACTTCATGAAAGAGAGCTGTTTTTACAGTGCTACTACTTCTCTGAGACATAGACAAAAAGCATCTTCAGGAGATGTAGGCTTTTCTATGGACAATAACAAAGAGCTGAAAGATGACACAATATAACACTTCATTCTTCACACTGGCAAAGCAGCAGTGAATATTATTCTGAAAACAATGCTACAGGCAAGTAATTTTGAAGGTAGACAAACATATATTACTAACATAGCTGTATGTGAAAATGAAAAAGCTTAACAGCTACATACAAGACTGTATTTTATAAGTACAATAACTATTAAAAAAAAATAAAATCCCTTAGCGTATAAAGCTTGAGAAGTAGGAACTTCAAGATGATAAGAAACAAGAACTATACTTCAGTCATGAGACAATAAGGGTGAGCACAATGCTGATTTCTGTTGTTTCTGATCTCACAGTGGCTCAAACTAGGGACAGCAATAAACTGAAACAACTATCTGCAGTTAAAGGCCCTTTCATTTGTTTTGTTTGTTGGGTTTTTTTGTCAAGTTAAGGCTAAGATAAGAACTTGGTTCTTGTTTCCTTATGATAACTGACACAAATCTGTAGCTTTACCCCAGCAGAATACAAGACGGGGTACTGCTGAGGCAGCCTTTTGCCAGTAGTCACTCCCACAGCCTTGCACACCAGGGTAGGAAGTGCCTCTGCTTCTTAGAACAGGTTAGACAAGAGACACCCAGCAGGGCTTGACCTAGCTCCTACAACCCGCCTTGGTCATGGAAGCTTAGTGTCATCTCCATATTCCTCCCCTCCCAGCTGTTGCACCCCGAGCACCAAAAATGGGACATGGGGGGATACATACATATTCCCCCTTAGTGACATACAATTGGTTGATGCACAGCGTCATTTTTGGTGAGCCATTTTCAAACATGGACCACCTGATCTGTCACAGGGCACCCAACATGCCCACCAACCAGCCAGCTCTGGGGCTCACCAAGCCCCAGCCAGCCTCTGCCCCACAGCCACACATAGGGCATATTTGGAGGGCTGATCGCCCACAGGACTGCTGTCAGACAAGCGACCTTTTCTTGGCTTTACTTTGGAGATCATTATTTCTGCATAACTTTAAGCGTTTTGTTGACAGAGCAACTACTAAAGCATCCAGACCCACTTGTTTTAAAACGCTCCTACAAAGCCGAGGGGGCTCCAGCGGCTCCCGAACCCTGCTGTCATGCTCGGCCGCCTCCAGCCGCGCACACAGCGGGCTTCCGCAGGCCCGCACCGCTCGCCCCCCTGCTCGCTCTCAGCTCCAGCAACTCTTTGCGGGCCTGTTCTGTTCCCTCGCTACTAACGAGGGCCGTTGCTATTCCTGCTCCCCTCACCCACAGACCGGGAGGGATCACCAGGACTCAGCTCCTGCTGTCCCAGGGGCCGGCCCAGGGACACCCTGCCGCCCCGCCTGGCTGGTGAGTCATCCCGGCGGACTGGGGCCTCCTCTTCTCCCTGCGAGCTCCCGCTCCGCCGGGACGCAGAGCCCGAGGCCGCCCCGCGAGCACTGCCGCCGCCACCCCCGGGCCCCCGTTACCCCCGAGCCCAGGCCAGGGCCAAGTCCTCGCCCGGGACCGTAAGAGGGCTGGGGGCAGCCACTGCGGGCTGCAGAGGGGGACCGGTGGGGCCCTCCCCCTGGAGCCGGCTGCCCAGCGCCCCACTCACCGTCCACAGTCTTTTTCTTGAAGAGAGAGGCCATGGCGGCAGCCGGACCCGAAACCAGCAGACCTCTGCTGTCGCCGCAGTGGGATTCTACCTCCTCCTCAGGTGACCAGGAAGCGGCCCGGCCGCGCAAACCCACCCAGCTCCGCCTCCCCGACGGCGAAGGGCGGTACAGGGGCCGGGCCTGGACGGCCGCGCCGCGCTGACCCCGCCTTCCCCGCTGAGCGAGTTGGGCTTGGGGGATGCTTCTTGGTTCGGGGAAGTCGCTGCCCGGAAGGGGCAGAGGCGGCGGCAGCAGCAGCCGCAAGCTAGTGCACGGACTTGGTCTCCCCCGGGTCGCGGGAGAGGCGCTCCAGGACAGTGCCGGGGTCAGTTGGGGTCCCGGCTGACGGAGCAGCGGGGAAGCCCCTAGTGGTGACGGCGTGGGGCCGGGCCCCGCTGTGCCTTCGTAGCTTCCCACTGCGTGCACCGCTGGATGGTTGGGGGGGGGCGGGAAGGGGTTTTTTTGTATGGTTGATTATTAAAAATTAATTAAATTCAGCAGCATAGTGCGCTTCGGGTTCACCGCACTTCATCGTGCAACTTCGCGCATGGGTAGCGATAGAGATCTGGGCTCAGGTCACAATTGAGCACTTGCGGGTGTTCGTTTCTGCCCGCTGTGCGCGGAGCGCCAGGCTGAAGGAGCCGTGTGTTGAGCACAGTGCTCCAGCAGCCACTGGCAAGTACACCGTGGGGTTTGGGGTGTTTCATTAAGGGGTGTTTCTGCTTTGAGCTCTTGCCTGGAGCCAGTGCCATGCCTGGGCAATCATACAGCGTTTTTGGCTGCAAGGGACATTTAGGGTTAGGGTTAGGGTACGGACACCTTCCACTAGGCTAGGTTGCTCCAAGCCCCACCCAACCTGGTCTTGATAACTGATAACATTCATTTTCTAAGATAAGCCTTTCTGGGTCACAACTACCCTGGTGCACAAGATGTGAGAGCGTGGAAAAAGAAATAACATTTTTCTTGGTTTTCAGGGTCTTCTTACAATCCTTAATTTTTAATAAGGTAGTTCAATAATGTAGCAGTGGTTTCATCATCAGCAATTATCTACATACACATCATGACCTTAGGAAATAAAAACAGCGATAGTAGAAAATACAGAGCTATTGGTTTGAATACTAGCTAGATATACCTTCACCAAAGTACAAGCACTGGGGGGTTTATATTAATTTGCAAGGAAAATCAAATGATTGGAATGTGGTAATGCATTTTGATAGCTAGATATAAATTTAACCTGAAGAAGGATTGTAACTTTATTGTGGTAGTACCTAATAAGTCACATTTTTATAACCTTGCACAGAAAAACAATCTATTAGAATATTACAATAGCTGTGTAATGATGTATGTGGATGTAGGAAGGTATAAACTATGTATTTTGTGTCAGCATTTCTTTTTTTTTTCTGAAAATACTGATTTTATTGCAAATAGCAATTTTTTGTTGTTTTTCACATGGCCTTTTACTTATTTTTCACTGAATGTGCTAGACTGAAATCCAGATCATGTGTGATGACATAGATACCATGGAAGATTAATGATTCACTATGAGATAGATTAAATAAAACACTCTTTACAAGATTATTCCTGTGTGTCTGTACTGTTAGGTCAGATTGGTCAGGGATGACTAGTAAGCAAAACTGAAATCCTGGCTTTGAAAGTGCACAGATGAAGGGCAGGAGAGTAATTTAGATTCAGTTCTCCACTTTCCTTGAGAGTAAGGTCAGACATCTTAACTATGGCTACTCTTAGGTCATGCTAATTAGCTATGAGACCAGAAAAAGATTTTTCCACATTATTTCTTCATGAATGTTTGCTTGTGATGAGGTAAACAAAGATGTCCATAATAGACTTCATGATTGCAATAAACGAAGTATGGCTGAGCTATTGCTTGCCTAGTGTTACTTTTTTTTGTGCTATAAGCCTGAATGCTGGGATGCTATTGTATACTTGATTTGAATCTTTTTCATAGTACTGATACAAGAAAAGAAGCCCTTGAATTTATCTTTCAAAAGAAAAGCTTAATCTTCAGTATTTCTTTTAGATTCTTAATGTCCTGTTTCAGTCTCTGTTTGCAAATCAAAATGTAAAGAGAATGTCTTAGTCCTTTATGCTGTAGACAAAGTTCAGAAATCAACAGTGACTGTATGCAAATATTGGTTGCAAACAAAAGCTGGGACTGTGTAGTTTCTGTTTATTGGATATTGAGTGAAGTGAGATACAGAAACTGGTCCAGAAGGGTGATACAATATCCTGCATTAATCTGAGCACCTTCAAATCAAAGTATGAAAAATTAATTTGGATATTAAAAGTAGATTAGCAGCAGGAAAGGTGGTCTGTATTCCAGAGCTGCACTGTAGAAAAATATGTGTTTGGGAGGGTGTGCATCTATTTGTTTTTAAATATATCTATATCTATATATCGATATATATATATATATAAGCTACTTTATAATTGGTCGTTTGGAGTACTTAAGCATATTGTTAATTTAAACCAGGTGACTAAGCTCAGTCTGTTTCATGCTAAATGTGTTCAGGTGCTCAGATGAAATGGCTGCTGTGAAGAAACCTTTGTAAATCAGTGTTGTCAGGTACTGTTCTTTAGAATAGTAGCAAAAGTGGCTGATTTTGAAAAGGACTTTTCTGACATGCTCTCAGGAGAAAAAGAGGTAAGCTTTCAGACATTTGAGAAACTCTCAAGGTTATGCTTTAAATCTTTTCAAGCTTTCTGGCTATATTAGCTGATCTAATAAAAGTTATTAGTCCATATTTCTCTTTCTGGGGTGAGGGAAATACTGCAAGTTAACTTCTGCTGACAAGCTATAGCAGACTGTCTTGGGATGCTCAGTGGAAGATGACCCAAATTCAGTACTCTGATCTATTCTGGGCCTGTCTAATTTCTCATCTGCAGATATAAGGAAAGTAAATGAGGACATGTATAATAAAGAATGAAATGGATAAGTTTAAAGTTAACAGAGCCCTGAAAGAGAGAAGACTGGTATATGTCTAGTGTTATATGAAAGGAACTGCACTTCTGGTGTAAAATAAGATAACAAGGAGAGCGTGTTTTGGGCCTCAGCAACTGGCCATCTTCCAAATCCTGCAAGGGCTCACTAATGCTTTACTTTATTCTGGAGGAGCTCCACTGAAATCAAATGACATGGCACTTACATGTGTAAGAGTTTGTGAGATTGTGTTCTAAAGGCTACGTTACCTTGTACCTTGTTGTATGAAAATAGGCTGAGTTAGGAGATGGACAGAAGGAAAAGGCAGGGAGAGAACTGCAGACCCTAAATAAGCTTAGGCTGCAGTTCAGTTCAACACTTTAATTCTTTCCTGAGCAAGAATCTGTGGTGGCACAGGGTAAATGTTATGGCTTTGTTTTAACATATGGCTCTGCTGAAGTCTGCCTCTGGATCATGATGTTATAATTGCTTTCATTAGGTATGGTACTTGGAAGTCAGAGTGTGCTCTCCAGGGTGGAGAGGTGATGGCAACGCACTCCATCGGCACAAAATGTGGGATGCTGGGAAGAAGGTGAAATGGGAAAGGGTAGGGGAGGATAAGTGATTGTATTGCTTCCCATCTGTTCACAATTTAAGTTGAATTGGGCCTGTATGTGAAAAAGAGTGTGTTGTTGGTCTTATGTATAACTGCTTTCTCTGTGTAAAAAGGATTAATTGCTAATAGACCACTACTTATCTATGCCTTACAGCATACAAAGTGTACAGGATAGAGGGAAATATGCATTTAGGTGTGGAAGCGTGGTTTGATTTAACTTATTCTTGTGAGGACTGTGTGACATCTGTGGAGACTGAAATTGTCTTATGTGAGAGGGGCTCTGTGATGTGCATGTTTTGCCTGATAACCCACCAAATTCACTTTATGGACTTCTGAATAAGTGAAAGCTTGCAAGAAAGAGTTAAAGAAAGCTGTAGTATCTTAAATGTGAAATATTACTGTAGTTTGCTGAACAGCTTTTAGTGAACTGGAGCTCTGAACATTTAAAGGATGTTGTCTTCATCTTAATTTTTTACTCTTGAATGTGCTTGTGAACGGTTTTGGGAGAGAAAAAAAAAATATTAACACCTCCCATCCCCCTTAATATATGTGAGACTAGCCAAGTAAGTTGGTGTTTTTTTCTGTTGCATGGAAATAGCATGTCAAAGTAAGATACATATGTAGGCAAGATTACACCTTAGTTTCAGTCACTTTCAGCATCTTCATAATAAAGTATAAGTACTTTACACCATTTAGTAAGTGCAGGAAGTTCAGTACGTTTTGAAACCCTCTAAATGCCTAGCCCCTCCTTATAAAGATCTGGTTTTAATTATTATCTTGATTGGGGATGATAAGATCTTTCTGAGTTGCAGGCTACATCTTTTATAACCTTCACATCTGATTGCAAGGTTCTTTGTGAAAGAGTGAACACTTTGTTATGAAAAAGTGCCATTCCTTTTTACAAGCAGATTTAGTTTTGCTTCAGTAATCAAGTACACTAGGACATTGTGTTTCTTTAAGGCATTCATGAAATCAAGGGTTATACTTTTAAAAGCGTTTGCTTGCAAGTATCATCTGTTTAAATGACTTTGCCCAAGGAGAGAAGGAAATCCAGGCTACCAACAAAATAGGTAAATACTGTTAGTATTTTATCACAAGCTTCAAGAACTCCTCAAGGCATCAAGTTCAGAAAAAAGAGCGAGAGATTATGGGGAGGATATTTATTATTACAAACTGCAAAGTCAACAGGGACTGCTAAATGTTCTTACAGTCATAATAGCCTATCTCATGTTAATTCTAGCCTAAAGCTCTGTGACTCTTTATGTGCAGAGATAATGGGGGTTAAAACTGTATTTTTAGTTTAGTAGCAGATTCCTCCCAACCATGGAAAATAAATTAAAAGAGCTTTGCAAATGAAAAATGTTTCAGGCTTTGAAGGAATTCCCAGCAATAATATACAAGACTTATTACCCTAGGTAGTTAGTCCCATATATTTGTGGCTGATACTAGTCACTTTGATTGAATATTGCCTCAGTAAATTTTCAAATAATTTGCCTTTAACCCAAATCTATTGATCCTAAAAAAGAAGACCTTTTCAGTAATGTTCTTGTTGTTTGTACTTTCTGTGTGTACCTTAGATAAAATGCAGTGTA